GTTTGCCCTTTGTTGGCGGGGGGTTCTTGCGATTCTGTGAGGAGTCACGAGAGGAGCTCTCAATGGATAGCCACCGTCGGCAAGAATTCGGGCATGTCTTGGTAATCCTAACTGACCTCCAAATCCAATGTTTGGGAGGTACCGGTAGGTGCTACTGTCATTTAGATGTCCAGGAAAGCCTGAAACAAGAAGAGTGATCATACCATCGGCATCAATGACCAACTGGGTTGACATGAAATGGACTTTTTTGTCCCCTCSATAAAACTCAGCCTGAAGTCTCCCCGATGGGCGTCGTATGCGATGTATAGTAGCATCTATCGAACCCACTGCATTTGGAAAATGATTCCAATACCCCATAAATGAGGACCATTTCCTTAAGTTGTGCCATGTGATGAAGGATCGAAATTTTAAAAATAAGATGGGCACAACATGATATATCTCCTCGGAAACAGTACTTTTACTGATATCAAATATGTGAGCAAGATAATGGTATGTTGGATAGCTCTTCTCAACCAAATGACAGCAAGCAGTACTCTGTTGCGTACATCTAAAATACAGCGTCGTTGTCTATCAGTAATAGGAGTCCTTGGTAGCATACGAGGCTTTACCACTTCATGAGAAACTACCTGCGCAACCCTATCCAGAGACCAAGGGGTGTCGCCTGTTAGGTACCAGAATTTACGTGGATCTGTTTCCAGTATACTCCATACGTYTCTTCCGGTGTTCTTTCTGAGCACTAGCTCGGGAAACAATACTTGTATTATAGGATAATGAAGTGGCACAATTTCCAAAATCGCGATGGGTAAAGAAATAACGTTTATCAGAGGCGGAAACGGTGGAGGGAAAGGTTGATTGTTGTCATGTAGAAAAAGAACATCCAGTACAGATAATATTGATGTCAACGTACAGAACAGAAAACACGGAAATGGAGGAGGTGGATTTCTGTTCGGCATCTTTTGAGCGAAATGAATAAATGAAAGCTTCATAGATCAATACACTGATCATTTCGCATACTAAAACATGATTGTGTTACACTCGCATGAATACTGATTTGAGAAGAAAAAGAACGCGTGTTTGTTCGTACCTTTCTATTTGATCCTTGCAATCCCTTGTTAATAAACTAATCAATGCCTTTAGAATTCTAAACACGTTGCTCGAGCTCAGTACGCATTATCAAGGGTGAAAGGTGAAATTTGAGAAGAAAAAGGTGTTTTTGTTTTTGCCTTTCTGTCTGATCTAACAATCCCTTAATTAATTAATCAATGCCTTTAGAATTATAGACACAGTTTTCTCGAACTCGTCATGACCAACCCTTTTTTGAAAAGAACCTGTGAAGTATTCACGCTATGAGTATATAAATATGCCCAAAGTTTGAGAATGGCCACATTGACTTCAATCCGCATAAAAGTACTCTAGATGGAAGAAGACAATATTTTTCTACGAGCTGCTCTCACCAAAGAACTTCAAGAAGTTCCATGCCCGAGTTCAAGCACTTTCCCTACTGCGAGTACCATGTCTTTGCAGCAACGACCCAAGCCAAAGCCAAAGCAAAAAAAGAGAAGTACACCAGTAGAGTTGATGCTAATTGGGAAAGGAATGAAAAAGTACGGAAGAGATTTAAAAGCCGTGGTTAGTTTCATGCAGAAACATTCATAGGTACTCGGGGACCAGCTACGAGATTACTACCAGAATATTGGAACACCAGAAGGGCCAAGCACAAGAAAAGCTATGGCAAGAGTTCGAAAAATTGCTAAGAAGTCTTTATACAAAGCAAGGTGATGTTGAAAAAAATTTTGAAATTCAGGTTCTTCTAAAAAATAAAATTTTAACGTTTATCTATTTTCTCTTTAGTGATTCTCGGCATGTACAAGAAGCTTCGACTGTTGCATCCACCAGTAAAGCAGTTAAGACTAGCGCCGAGCAAGAATTTAATAGTAGCGAAAGTGAGTTTGATATCGATAGTGACAGCGATTGGAAAGTCACCGAGAACGATATATTTAAAAAAGATACGCAATATACAAACATCCAAGCATCTCAATCCAGAGAGGAAATTTTGAGTGCTGTCAAGAATGGTGATGATGCAAAAGACCAAGCTGATGCAAAATCGAAGAGGAAGAAAAGCCAAAGGTACGCTAAAGTCGTGTTTCTTGATGCTGGTAGCGAATGTCACATAATTGACTATAACTTTCCTGCTTTTTTTTTTTTTTTACTTTGTATTCAACAGGGGAAAACAGACAGCTAAATCGACCAGACAATCTAACCCTTGATAATGCGTACTGAGCTCGAGCAACGTGTTTAGAATTCTAAAGGCATTGATTAGTTTATTAACAAGGGATTGCAAGGATCAAATAGAAAGGTACGAACAAACACGCGTTCTTTTTCTTCTCAAATTTCACCTCTCATCCTTGATAATGCGTAGGAGCTCGAGCAACGTGTTTAGAATTCTAAAGGAATTGATTAATTCATTACGAACAATCACACGTTCTTTTTCTTCTCAAAATCTCATTCATAGCATAATACTCCACAAAATTACGCACAATTCATTTATAATGGTTCTAGAGTAATTATAGTTGAATGTCCTACATAGGGTATACAAATTCCCCTTGAGCCTTCGATAGGGTCTACATTTTGCCAATTTGTCTTGAATAGGGTATGCCGGATTTTCAAGATTTTGCTGTCTTAAATATAGGGTCAGTGTTTATAGGCATCAGCGGAACCCCTCCGTCAGAAACTGGTTCAAGTACCCCCCCCCCCCGGGATAATTTATAATTTATCGCGGTAACGATGCTGAAAGTTAATTTTTCTCGCCTCTATTCTTTCCGAATTCTATTGTTATGAAATACTTAGAAAAAAAGACAATGCATGGCAATAAAGATATTGCCAAATCGACGAAAAGGTCACTAAATCGTAAAACCCTCTTAGGATTAAACTTTGACGTAAAATACTCGTTTAGATTAACTGATTCGGAAATGGGTAAATAAAGTTTTCTTGAAGAGTAAATAGCATAGAACTCGCGATAGCTCAGTCGGTAGAGCAACAGACTGTAGTATGTAATAACAGTTATCTGTAGGTCGTCGGTTCAATCCCGACTCGTGAGATAAAACTATTTTTTGATAGAAAGAAAAAACATCAAATCCATGATAGTATAGTGGTTAATATACTCGCCTGTCGAGCAAGAGACCAGGGTTCGATTCCCTGTCATGGAGATAACACTTTTGGGGCGTACAAATAGGTATCTTTGTTAGAAGAGCATCGATTGCTTAAGAAAGATGATGCGTTGAAAATAAATTAAAATTTTAATCGTAGGAATTCATAAAAGACCTTATGGTGTAATGGTATCACATCTGACTCCAGATCAGAAGTCATGGGTTCGATTCCCATTGAGGTCCTCTATTGATGGGTTGCAAGCATTCCCAAGAGAGTTTAAAGACAAAAGCATGGCGGCCATTGTGGTGCCGTTAACAATGGATGCTAATGAGAAATCTTTTGTTAAATGGCACCAACATGGCCGCGATGACGTAACGGAAACCTCACTATAGAATACGTCACCGTTGTTACCGGCCCGGAAAGTAGGGTCTGGGGGAGAGCACCGGTTCGCACCGGTGGCACCGGGCGCAGAACCGCCATTTCATATCTACTACTTACAGCGAACGAAACGAAAGGCCCGTTAAATCATTATTTAAACTGTAGGTGGCCGTATACGATGTATGTATACATTGTACAATCTTGTTTATCCAGCTGGTTTTATTTAGATAACGGCTTTTTCTATATGATACACGATTATACGTGGTAAATTACGTATTCTAAGCTCATTGTCAGTTAACGTTTTTCAAGGTAGCATTTTGATGTGATCCTGGCCTTGTTTTTATGAAGTTATTTCGAGAAAGCTGAACGGTGATTACCTGACTGATAACTTTTCAGCAAACTTTAGAAGGTA